ACATGCAGGGGAACAAAAGGAGTTCAGGCAGATCTGAAACATTGCTTCCACAAGGCTCTTCCTTAGAAAATCCAGTTTTCTTCTATCTTGCTATATGGCCATATCTTTTCTCCTGATAGTTCCTGTCCTTCTTCGTCATCACTGAATACACAAGTCCGTAGACTAATATCCTGATCATGGTTTTGTGGTTGCCAGGCTACAATTGGATGTTTCTCCCTTTATGTCCAATCAGTCACCTAGTCCAGTCCCATATCTGTCCTCTTCTATTTAACTTCTCTGTCACTGCTTTCAAGTTAGGCCAATGGTCTATAAGGTCTTTTGATCAGAATCCATTAACATGTAAATTAGTAAAAAAAAGAGCATGCATCCCAATTTTGTTTTACAAATAAAATGCATGTGAATATATGATATAGTATGCATATTATGAAGCATACACAGAAATAGAACTAAGAATGATGAGATAAATACAAGTAGAAGTAACAGTATTTTCTTCATCCTTTCCAGTGCATTTTGTACACAACCTGGGATATGTGATTCTCACTTGGAAGATACAAGTTTAAAATCCCCATTGCCGTCAAGTTGATTCTGACTCATCGCAACCCTATAGGACAGATTAGAACTGCCCCACAGGGTTTTCTAGGGTATAATCTTTACGGAATTAGACTGCCTCATCTTTCTCCCACAGAGCGAGATGTGGGTTCGAACCGTCGACCTTTCGGTTAGCAACTGAGCACTTAACCACTGCGCCACCAGGGTTTCTTGGACCCAGGTTTAGGCCACCATAATCTCTCATCTAGGCACTAGTCCCTAATCACCCATTGGAAGGTTCCAAGTTCTTTAGCACATCATCCATTTCCTTCATGTTTTGGCCCCTGCCTGCTTCCCTTGACTTATCTCCTCCCACTCTCCCAGTAATGCTTTATGCTCTAGTAGTCCCCAACTACTTCCTGCTCCTTTCTTATCCCATGCTGTTCCATGCTTCCTTGCCCTGTACCTTTTCCTTGAAGTGGACTTCCTGGTGAAATATTATTTTTTTATTTGAAACCTCACTTAGGGATCAGCTCCTTTGTGAATCATTCCTAATCTCCAAGAACTAATTACTCCTTCCTCTGTACTATGTCTATTTATGCACACGGCCCAAATGTCATATGGTATTATGTGCATCTGTTTACTTTGTCTCTCATATTGAATGCAAGCTCCTTGAGATTAGAGACAATGTCTTATTTATCTCCATATCCTTGGCACTGGGCAATGGTGACTTGAACAAAATTCCTTGAGACCGGATAACACCAGATTGTTGTTGTTGTTAGGTGCCGTTGGGTCGGTTCCAACTCACAGCGACCCTATGGACAACAGAACAAAACACTGCCCGGTCCTGCCCCATCCTCACAATTGTTGCTATG